TCGCTGATCAGAACGAAATTTGCGAAAATATAACGTCATGGGCTACGTTCGTTTTTTATACATGTTACGTCCTCGAAAGCTGTACGTTGCGCTGCAGTTGGGAGATCGAATCGACTTGCGTAATAATTAGTCGTGGTCCTGAACATCAGTGCCTTTCTCCATGGCTTCGACGTGCCCCAAGTAGAGCTCCTCTGTTTGCATATTACAAAACAAATGACTACTCGCGACCTGTGTGTCCAATAATTTTGTTTGCGCTCGTATGCCACGCCAAGCGCTTAATCGTTACTGTGAATCGAGCCATTGTTTCGCACGACGTTTTCATGATGTGCTTTTATCTTTGAGGGTATAAAATTATGCTGCACTTTGTGGTTGTGAACAATTTTAACAAACAACAATTTTACGGATCTGCCTTGGCAGATGAACCACCGATAGTTTTAATGTACCCACTGCATATTTCCATATAAGTAAGAGTTTGCAGCTGTGTATAATTACCAAAATACATTTATCATCTATTGTTACTGTGCAACATCAAGGACGCAAAAACATCGTATTCGCCAAAGATATCGAAACATCAGTGGGATAGGGAAAAAATGTTATACGATAACAAAAACAACGCCACCTCACCTCTCGAGGGCGCGTATCTCGACGTCTCAATTAAGTGTTTACATTCCCGAGTTGGCTCGTCAAAGATCTTCCAAAAGATTGCTAAGACAGAAAGAGAAAAAAAGTACGATAGTCCAGGCCTTGCGTAACTACGTGTAGCTTCTCGCTCGGTCGAACACAATGGAGACGAGAGGAGGGTGGTGACGATACGCGTCCTCGCTCCTCTCGCGCGCGTAATATCCGCACCCATGAAAAAACAAGGCGTCGTTTCTCTACTGGATGATGGAAAGAGCTAACGTTCCTTTGAAGAGTTTTTTTTGTCTTGGACAAAAATTAGTTTGCTGATTTGCTAATAGTTTTTTTTTTTTTTTTTTTTTCTTGGCAAGCAGGACGCGGGTTGTTTTTTTCATTTTTCCCCTACATTTGGTTTTTTATAACAACAGGACTGCGTAAAATCGTCATCGGTTTTTATAGGTCCCTCGTCTGAAAAGCGCGGATAATGTGCCAGCTATTTATTAATTAAAACCCAGGGGAATATTACACAAAGCGCGACACCTCGGAGGGTTACAGTATGAAATTGTTCCCTCGTATTGGAAAAAGCTTGTGCAATAAAAAAAAAAAAAGTACGCCCGTGCTCGGGCTACTTGCGAGAAAATCGATGCGAAAGCACAACGAGAACGGTATACTTCGGAAAACTTAATTAAAATTTCAGGGAAGAAAGAAAAACTCTCCTTCGCACGGAAGCTCGCTTAACTGCGTCTAAAGGACCTACATCGGAATTCCGATAAAAATGAAGAAAATTCGGAAAAAAGGAGCATACCGTGCTTTAAGCTGCGGGCGCTGCTCGCACGCACGGTGTGGTATGGAATATTGCATGACTAGAGAGTCCCGCAGGGATTTACGTCTACGTCCATTCTCTTCTCTCCCGATTTTCAACGCGAAGATGTAGAAAGTACAGACGTATCTGGGGGAAACGGTATTATTTTCCGGTTGAATTGATTCCTGATTCTCCGTTGGTAGTATAGCAGACTGGGAGGAACAAATCGACTCTCTCTCTCTCTCTCTCTCTCTCTCTCTGTCCTTTGATAACGAAATTTCAGGCGTGACGCAATGGCACCTACTTCTATTTGTGTTTTTCGGGGCGTCACGAGTTCAAAATACCAATTTTGTTGTTGGTCAATTTGAATTAGTAGAACAAGGAGATAAAAAATTGAGATGAAGAAGTTTCAGTAACCTGTTTTTGGGTATTTCGTGACCATTTGATAGCAGCGATTTTTATTAGTTATCGTTCCCATATAAAAAACGAATTTGAAAGATTAATATAAACTTTCGTACCACCTCCGTAGACAAACTACCATATATCTCTGTAACTGCAGCACATCTAATTAAGCCAGAGCTTACTTCTCGACCAGAGCTCGCGTGACTTAACGAGAGAAAGTTCCCCAAAATCTCTTTTTCAAGTTCTCCTCTTCAGCACAAAGACGTAGGCACAACTTCCACTCGAACTCAATTGTGCAACCGCAGATAAGTAAACAAATAAATACAAACTCTCGAGGAAACTTTATTTTAATACACTTGGGTTAATCGATTGAGGGCAAATAAAAAAGAGTTATTGTATGAAAAGATCATTGTTGTGCTGCCGTGCTACCAGAGACACAACTCTCCCGGCGAGAAATTTCCCTAATCCCCGCGTCCGTGCCTCCTCGTAAAAAGACAATATTGTCAAAACAGCGTCTCCTCGTAGTCATGCAACCGTAATAACCCAAGTTCCCTTCCTCCACCCTGCATTACCCCATCCAGGCGCTGCATTATGTAGCCTTTCGCGAGCGACGGGGAGCTTTGAAACGCGCGGCGCGTGCATCTTGCCGGGAAAGCTCGCACTCCAGCGAGGAGAGGAGGTACATTGCATAAATTTATAGCTGCGGAAGGAGGCTCCTTCTTTATCCAGCTCCGAGTACCTACACCCATTGGCGTTCATTGAAAGCCGAACGAGTAACTGCCCCGGGGCTTTCGCTCGGTTCCAGCGATGGAACGTTGATTTCAGAGATGTATACTCAAATCATAAATTGTATCCGCAAGAGGAAAGAAAAACCACCGGTTCTCCGGAAGGAGAGAGCGATGGCACGCGACGCGTGCGTCCGACCAAACGAGAGCCCGGGAAGAAAAAGCCCTGCACGCGTGTCTCGATCCCTCCGCAAAAGAGACACGCCATCGTCGGAGGATAATTAGCCGCGCACACTCCATTGCTTTTCGAGAGCGCCACCGAGATGCTATATATATATATATATATATATATACATCCTCCAACGCTGGTGTCTTACGAGGAGGCAAAGAGACGCACGCCGCTGTCGCTGATTAAATTTCGTCGGAGACGTCGGTTTTCACTCACTCGAGCGAAGAGAGAAACACAAGACGCGAAATCGACGATGCCTCGAAGTGTGCGTATTGGGTTATCGGTCAGTGCAAAAAAAAAAAAAAAAAAAAAAAAAAAAATGTAAATGCCGGGGATCGCTCTTTTTTGCTCGAGCGATGTGCCATGGGCTGTATACTGTATCAGTGTTTCCCTCGAGCGGGAGATTAGAAAGTGTAATCTCGAACAATTTTTTTTTGTTTTTGGGGCTCGTCTCGCAGGATACTGCGTTATAACGACTCTTTTATTTTTTATTGGTTTGTTTTCGAAAATTTATAGAAAGTGTCTCTCCAAAAAGTAAATACAGCCACTGGGTATAGGACTGTTTATTCGGAATATACGTCAAGAGAATCGGCTAAAAAACGCACCGTCATCCATATTACAGCGTAATCTATCTTTTGTGGATTTATTTTCTCCCTTTCGATGGTAAAGACACGCGATTCGTTCTTCAACTCTGACAATACCCGCATTAATGCGTCTTTTCCTTAGTTCTAGCGTGTGTTTAGATTATTTCGTACGGAAACTTGGTATTGTTCGAGGATATCTAAAACTTGATTTTTTTTTTCCCTCGTCGTCTCGTGTATTGTTTTAGTTACTGTCCCGCCTCCCTCCCCTCCAATAAATATGATAGAGCGAGACTGCGGGATGAAAATGGATTTGGTAAAGGACACGGGTGAACGACTTTTTTGAGATAATTTGCTGTTATTTTTGTCTTGTTTCTGTCATCAACTTGTTTGATAAAATACACGTGTGGAAGGATGCGTTGGATAACTCGGGCACGCTTCAGCAATCCTATTTCGAACGAAAGAATTAGTACCCGACTTTTTGTTCCATCTTAATCGTTTTTAAATAACAAATCTCTGACTGCAACATTTCTAACTTTTCGAAAGTATTTTTCCAATCGTTAATTGGAGTAACAAGTCGCGCGTGTACGGAGCCTAAGCAGCCCGAGTGAAAATGTAATCTCACTCTGTGCAAACGAGGAGAAATCGGGCCACGAGACGCGATATTATAATGTACACGCGCTTACGGAGCTTGTGGCAGAGGCGTTGTAACGATTAAACATTGTCTCGTGGCTCGAGATCCTCATTCTCCGTTCTCGGTATTATTAATTTTCCCATTCAATTTCCATACGTACAAGATGGAATTTTTGTTTGGTACGTAAATTGGTTCGCGAATGCCGAGGCTCAAACAAATTGAGAAACCCTTTGAACTCTCTCTCTCTCTCTCAGTTAAATTATTTTTTAACCATCATGAGATAGTGAAATTATTATAGGAGCGAGATGTCCCTCCAATGTACTACAACCTAGTTCCGTACTACCTTCGTGTTAACTATTATCTTTATTTTTTCTTATCATTAACAAATAAAAATAATCCAAGATTTCGAGACAACCATCCAGAGTCAGAATTTAGGTATACATTTAAAAATGCATTTTTCCGTCGAGCGGCAAGTAATTATCATCCATTAATCGACCAAGAAAACTTCGGGACCACTAGTATAGCGTAAAAAAAGTTCTTGAAAAAAAAACCTTAATGGCCCGTTGAAGGAACGGCAAAAGTTCTGCAAGCTCGTAAACCCTTTTGTATTCATAATGCGCCCGAAAGAGAGGGAGAGAGAGAGCTCGCATAAATTTCCGAGTCCTAATTTTCTTGGTGGCGGACACACTTACGCTCTCCAAAGAGTCCCAGAGCGCATGTTGAGCCGTATACATAATGCCCCCTCGAACGAAATGGTACAAAACTGTGCTGGTCGCTGGAGAAATTTTGCAGAGTTACGGAGAGGCGTTGTCACAAGACCACAGGTGTGGATGTCATTAGGCGAGATTTTTTATTTAGAGCCTGCGAGGCTCGGAGTATGGGTATCATTTCACCTCAAAACTAACTTTGATTTCATCTGGAAAAAAATCTGAGTCAGCAGTTTACCATATCTTCGCTTTCATTGAGGAACACAAAAATAATTTTTCTTCCCCTTGCTTCTCTTGCGCAGAGACACCGGCAAGTACGACAGCACTGGGCCAACGCTGCCGCAGTCGCAGAGCTCGACGCAGGAGCGCCGCAAGCTGTTGAAGCGCACCCGTAGCTTGGCCGTGATAACCGAGGACGAGTCGAATCGCGCCAACAACACCGGGGGTGGCTGCCCTGGCGAAGTTCTAGGGCCGAGGATTGGTGTCTCCTATGACACTTCGTCCCTGCAGCATCACCGCAGGCTGCACCAGCAGCACCACCAGCTCATACCTCGAGCTAAGCTCATCGATCGCAACTCGCTTAAAGACAGGTTGGTCCGTGGATGATGGGGTAACAATACAATGTTTTTCCAATTTCGAATTTTCACGAAATAAACCATAACTATACAATAGAAGCAACGCTGCAGGAGGTTCAGAATTTAGAAAAATTTTGACGTAGATTCGAGTTGAAAACTTTTATGTTCATACGCGTGTTTGAGCCTTTGAGCTTCCAAGCTCGAGGAAGTTGACGTGCTTTACTTCGAAAGTTTACAAAGTACATATCAAGAGGACGAATTTTAATGATGCGGTTATACAACTCGTTCGGAGTCTATAAGGCGTTTGAGGAGGTTTTTCGGGTGGAATTTTAGTGACGTCATGTTTGACAAGTAAAATTATTTGTACCTATTACTTATACAACGATGAATGAGAATTTCAAGTATTAAGTAAAACTGAATCGAAACTTAAAAGAAATATAATTAATTAGTAAACGTCCTCGATTAGCCAACTTTTTGTTAAATTAAAGGAGCTTAAAAATAAAAATTCACTCGCTGACACACCAATGGCCTTTTCAGATTGTCCAAGAGCCAGCAGCACCTCTCGGACTGCTACTACGGCGAGCCCTTCGGCCCGGACCTGCCAGCTTTGCGCGCCTGCCAAAGCCGCTCGGTCTGCGGCCTCTACAACTCCCTCCCGCCGCCGCTCGACTCGCTTCCGGACCCTCTGCCGTACACCCGTGCCGGTGGCGGCCTGTACCGCGGCTCCGCCACCCTCCGGCCCGACCACCGCATCAACATACTCAAGTGGCCGGAATCGCCGAGGCGCTACCGCAGCGTGCAGGACCTGAACAGCGTCGCAGGACTCGTCGAGGACCGTTGCGGCTGGCCAGGCATCGACGAGGAGAACCGCAGCCTCGACTGCATCTACACCCAGGTGATAGATCCTCATTTACGATCACCGACACAACCATTTGCCGAATCGACGAATCATTGGTACTATTTTTTTTTCTGCGCAGGTCAAGAGAAAGCGAAAGGAGCACAGGAGCTTGGACAGCATCCTCTTCGAGGACGACAGCGACGAGCTCGAGTACTTTGACGTGCTGAACCTCCTGCCCCTGTCCAACGTGCGCCTGGAGATCGACGAGCCCGACAACGGGGGTGCGGTACAAGGGAGAAGCCGCGCTGCCAATCGGGACCCCAAGTCCAGTCCCGCGATCATTGCCGTCTCGGCCAAGAGGAGCTCCGCAAGCGCCGATAGACGCTCGAAGCACCACTCCGGGGCGAGAATCACGGAAATCGAGGACGACATCGACGAGCTGAACCGCAAGAATACCGCCAAAACGATCGCCGCGGACAGGAGCGTCACGTCGTTTTACGAGATCGCCAGGGAGAAGCGGGGTCCCGAGAGTAAAGACGATAACAAGTCGAAGGGACACCTCGAGTCGTGCTCGAGAACGAAACAGCAGCCGCGGAGGGACACGGTCGACCGGAAGGAATCGTCAAGAGCAGAGGACAACAAGCATCGCGACGGAGAGAAGGTACGGGTCGAAGAGACGGAGGACACCAAATCGCTGTGGATATCGGACAACGAGGAGGTGGAGGACATGTCTCGCAGACCCCTGGTACTACAGGTCGTCGACAGCGACATGACCAAGACCAAGAGCTCAAAAAAGTCGGTGAGCATCTTGGACGTCGGGTCGGACGAGGATGTGGCGCAGAAGGAGAACATCTGCGAGAACACGGTGATCCGTCGAGCCGCATCGCTGAACAAGCCCGATTTGATAAACGATCATGTTCACGAGGCGAAAAACAACGAAACAGAAGCTGAAAAGGAGAAGAGCAGGCTGATGAGCGTCGAGAACGCCAAGAATTTCTTCGAGAAGAAGAGCGTCGACGGTGACAACGGCAGTGGCAAAACTTCGCACAGCAAATCGTGTGACGATGCTAAAGGTAGCCTCGGTTACGAAGCGAGATCCGAGAGCTCGGATTTGGGCCTCGGCTCGGAAGTCGGCAGCGACGTCAGGAGATTGTCGGTCGACGAGAACACCAACTCCACGATCGACCGGAAGCATTCACCCGATGGGTGCAACGGGCAGTACGTTGATGGCGGTGGGAAGGACAAAAATCAAAAGAACTACACGAGTCTGACGAGATCGAGGAGCTACGTTGACTCCATCGAGTGTCAAGACCCCGACGAGCCCGAGTTCGACCATGTGCGCTACAAAATCCTCAAGTCCCACGTGTTTAGCAAAAAAATGTTCAACAGCGCGAAAAAGGACGCCACCTACGACGGACTGATGCAGTACTTGCGCGAGTACTCGTTTCAGGATCTGCTGATGGACAACAACGTGGTGATCATCGAGCCGGTCAGGGCAGAGGTGGATCGCAAGCCATCGTTCAATGACTCCAAGCTCAAGTCGTCCCCGAGCTGTGGAGTGTCGGGTACCTCTCTCGACAAAGCCAAGGGAGCAGCCACGGATGCCAGCAGCTCAGACGAGAAGAGCGAGAGAAAGGGGAACCACTTCAAAAAGACGCCCAGGCAGTCGTCGCTCCGGAAGCACTTCTTTTACCAGCCTATACGGGTAAACCGTGAACTAAACGACGAGGAGCTGCCAGATCCGAATACCGTGAGAAACGTGAGGATGATGTTCGAGGAGACCATGAAGAAGAAGCTAAAAGCAGATCCCAAGGCCTCGAGAGACTGCAGCACGAGGAAGAGCGTGAGCATGAAGGATCTGAGGACTTTCGATTGCGGTGGCTCGGACAAGGCAGCGGAAGCTTCCAGGTACTTATAAATATTCCGACCACTGCTCGAAAATTTCACCGTCACTCTCCTTTCATTATCTCTGGCTTTGATACATCTTGCAGATACTGTCCTTCGCTCATCATTCATTACTAAACGTTTTGTTTTTAAACTTTTGACGTGGCAAGCAGGTCGAGGTGTTCCAGCCGGGCGAAGAACCTAACGAGGATGTTTGAGAACCTGGACAAGCCGACCTCCCCCTCGTGCTCCATCAATGGCCACAAGGACGACAGTGACGGTCCTCGAGGCGAATCCAAGGCGCGAGCCATAGTTCAGGCTTTCGAGGCAAGGAGCAACCAGACATCACCCAGCAATTCCAACTCCTCCAAGACTCGCGTGAGCGGCAGGTACCAGCATCGTCAGTTGCACAACTGGGACGCCGGGAGCGTGAGCTCTGGTGTATCGAGTGACTATCCGGACACGGATGCTGGTAGCGCGCCCGCGTGTACGTCGTCCGAGGATGAAGAGCTCTACTATCCCGAGTACGACGAGGAAAGGTACGAGGGTCACTACGTGCCACCGGATGTGCTGAAGAAGATCCGAGAGTACGGGACGTCGGTCACTTACTACGGTGGCAAGGTGGTGAACACGTGCAACGGGCCCCTCGTGTGTCCTACGGCTGGCAAAAACTCCAAGGGATCGAAAAACTCCCTGGACTACATCAAGTTCCGTTTGGTGAAGAGCAATTCGTGCGACAGCAGACTCGAGATGACGGGTCGATTGATAGACAGCAGAAGCAAGGGTCAGTTGGGCATGAATCGCGACAAGAGTGTTGACCTGCGGCAGTTTACCATCGACGAGACCCCGAGTATCGAGATAACCCCGATCCAGCAGGACGACGATAAATCCCAGGACAATAGAGAAACCAGAGAGGAGAAGCGCGAGCCTCCGGTCGTCATTGGCTTGGAACCGAAAAAGGACGAGAGCAGCAAAAGTTTCAAGGCGGACTTTCAGCTCGGCAAGCTCGACGATTGCACTTCGATAAATAGGTTTGCGCCGAGCGCGCTTGCGAGATGGCAGATCAACGAGAACGCGTGGAAGAAGACCTCGGACTTTGGAAAAATGGAGTTTGAGGAGTTCGAAGTGCTCGAGGACAGTCTCAACGATATCGACCATTGAAGTGGCAAATCATTACGAGTTTTTCATTACCTGGCAACATGCAACGAGAGGACAAATGTTTGTTTTTTGTTTTGTTTTTTAAATTTATTCAGTCATATATGCATACAGAGTGTAATGAGAGTATCGGAGGGGAAAAATTTATTGTTGTTGTAAATTTTAATAATCGATTATGAGACGCATTGTGTGACCCCAGATATTTACAATGTGTAAGTGTTATGTATGTGTACACGTTTTGCTCAAGTAAGACCAATACACATGAGTACATGTACTCGTATTGTATTTCATTTTCAAAATGAAAAAAATTAATTTAGTTAAAGTTATATTAAATTGACGAACATCATGTAAAATGTAAATTTTATCTATTTATAAACAACAAGTTACAAGTCACTGTATAATGTTATGTTGTTCAATAAAAATTATAAAAAAATTTATTTACTCTCCTTTGATATGTACTACAAGTATAAAAAAAATGTTCTCTTTTGAAATGCATGTGATACCTAATTATTACCTGTTTCGAGCACCTCTTGAACATTCAAGGACTTGCAGAAGTAGCATATCGTGCGTAATTGGTAATTTATTCGAGTTTAACGAGATTCGTAACATCATTTGAATGTAGTACAATCACACAGAAGATAGGGACTCGCGAGATGCTTCGCTACTACCAGTTACCTTATGAAGTAACTTTGAAAAAAATAAAAAATAGCTCATTATAACTTGCAAGTCAATTTTCATTTTTGTTTTTATAGAGTTGGTGATTCAACACTCTTGGTTGGATTAAAATAAAAAAAATTGGGAGTGCAACGATGGTAGATGACAATAAATTTATTCATTCATTCAGTAAGTAATTGAAATTCTTTTGAAATAGTGACAAAGGACTCGAAGTATTTACTTTAATCAAATTAAAACAAACAACACTGGTTTTGTTTTAACTGAGGCTTTTTCTCTGTCACTCCTTACCTGGTGTCATTAGCGCCCCGCTCTTTTCTTTACTCCGTTTCGTCGATTCCTTCGTCTCCTTTGAGTCTTTTTTCGTGTCTTTCGATTCCCTCGTGTCTCTCGACTCCTTGTAGTTGTGCTGCTGCTCTTTCGAAAGTATCGGGTTCAGACTCGAAGTAAATGTTCGTGTACCTGTCGAAAGGCTCTTTCGCGAACTGTTCCACCACTTTTTGCACCACGTTTCCTGGAAAATTAAGAAAATACTATACGTGTGAGGTAAACATGCAGAGGTAGTAGTTCTTCAAGAAATAATAATTTATTGTCTAATCGATATTTCAAGTCAAAAACTTTACTTTTTATTTTAACTTTGCCTTAAATTTTATTCTTAATATAAATTACTTAATATACATTACTTAATATACATTATTTTCACGCTTCATGCATATTTTTTTCAAACAACAACTATTTTAATGTCGACAAGTATGTCGACTCGAAAATGTCTCGAATAGAATGAGAAGTTTCTAGTCCAGATTAATAGACAAAGTTACAAGAGCTGATGTTTAATTTTAAAAAATAAACAAAACTGTATACCTAAAAAAAAGAAATTTACAGGTAAGTACAATAACGTCCATTACTTCAAAACAACTGCTGTTGATCTAGTAACTGTATTGCTCGAGCATTGCAATAGCATAGGGTCGTTTCTGCCCAGTCGAGATCGATCGTTAGCACGCAAGCCCTGTCAGATGTTAAAGCTCGATAGCGAAAACTTTTTCTTTTCGTACCCGACAAAACGCTAAATTATACGCCTCACCCCCCCCCCTTTTTGAGGTCGGCGACCTGTTACATGTACAGAGCTGAGATTTAAAAATTCACTATTACGACGATACCAAGTATTTTTTTGTTGTAAATTGCGTCATCTTTGAATACTTTGGATCAAACTGAGGGATCTGTGGTGTAGCTATAATAAAAACTAATAAAGAGGTAAATAATAAAATTAAATATTCATAAGACTTTCACAGGGTACGTGCATGTATTACGAAAGTTTTTCAGCTAGGCTGAAGTAGATTTTTTTCTAAAAAAATCACCACGAAGCTGTTAAGCTAACGTCAAAGTACGATCTTATACTTCGATAAAGTCGGGGGGAACTGTTGGCAGGGATTTTCCACGGCTTTCTTTTATCATCCTGCCGTCGACGCACGTTATCGCGGAACTGTTCCATATTTCCTGCCTTTCATTTTTCATTACAAAGTCACGTGTTCTTCATTGTATAGGGTTTTCATGACATCACCTGAATGAATAACACAATCACAGATTCTTTCTTTTCCAAACTAGCATTTAATATTTATCCGTCAATAGAACCGTCAAACAGTTTCATCGCCAAAGATTCCCAAATAAATATTGCCCTCGTTTACGGTACTTTACCACCCAAGTGCCCAAACAGCTCAATGACCAAAGCTGCTAGTTAAACTCCCTGACACCAGCGCGATGGTTCCAAGAGCTACATTTCGCAGCTATAGCACCGAGGCAACATATCGATCCTCCCCACAGCGGACACACCCAGTGTGTGTGGCCGAGAAAAGAAACTGAGGGAAGGAGGGGAGATCAGTTTTAATCTACGATCTCTAAGGTTTTTTTCTTCACAATGGTACCGAAACTCCGGTGCTCCTCCGCGTGATACAGTTCCTGCGAAAACTTTTATCCCCTCGCGGCCTGGTCTCTCCGATTACTGCCTGATATCGAGCCTATAGATGACGCACGGTCGTTTTATCGGGCTACGAATGGGTAAAATAGTGCCATCATCAATGCGCATTCAAGATGGATGCCTGTTATTAAAGTCAAGATGCTGTTTGCACTTTTACACCACAGAGGAGAAAAGTATTTATCACTCGATGTCGTGTTTCGTAGCGTTGCTCGATATTTCACGATAATGATGATTACAGGAGCAAAACCAGCACAGTCGACTGGTGATTTTGTGGGAGGTGGCGGTAGGCGTCCCCACCTTTCCATACAATATACATAACATGTACTTGGAATAAAACAGATAGCCTACTGGGTCCTCGGCATCGTGCCAAAGTGCGTTGCATAGGTTTAATCGGGTTTAATGGCTTTCAGGGGCGGGGGAAATATTTTTTTTCCCACCTTGACTTTGTTTACTATTTAATGATGATTTTTCCTGAATCACGAGAGAGTTTTTTTCACATGCAAAACGTAAAAATAAAATCACCACAACCCATGCAGCGACAAAAACACGGCCACCACTCGTTAACCCGAATTCTTCGAGCGTAAGCTCGCACCCTCCCCATCCCCCCAGGGGTTGAACTCCATTATGCAACGGCGAAACAATCAGCGACGTCTCCTTACCCAAAATTTGCCACGCGACCAGCTGTGGTGGACATGACTCAGCTACACCCATTCCTCGCGGTTTTCCTATAGTAAGTATGAAAAAGCTGCACAGGACTCAAGTCAAAAAGTTGGAGAAAATCTATACACACTCAGGAAAAGTGGTTGGTGCGTGCAGAGCCGAGAGCCTCATCGACGTGAGCCCTCTAGGTGTACGTGATATTTTCCAGTTAATTTTTCTCCGTTAACTGAGCTAATCAATTTATTAGGAAGCCGCAACCGTAATACGATGAGCAGAGATACGTATGATTAACAAAACGTAATGGCCACGTTAATCAAGAGCGTCGCCATCATAATAGTAAGCACATATACTTTTTGCTGGCATGTCCCGAAGTCATTATCCAGCTGCGTTTTTCACGGAGTGACGGGGGTTGAAAATCATCCCCTCGATCGGATTGTCAGTGGTGATCGATGAGTATACATACAAGCACGTGCGCGATGTAAAACGGAGAATAGCGAATTCCACGCACGCGCCACTCCTCTCTGTGTGTGCACACGCGCGTTCGACAAACATCCATAATGATGCGAGCTGAGCGCGCCCCGTTAACTTTTGATGTGGTTTTCATTCCTTGGCTCTGCGTTTATTGAAATTTTCCTGTAGCGCCAGCGAAATCGATACTTTCGCACTGGTGACTGCGTTGTGTCGCCAGTCAGGCTGAACTACATACCTTTGGGATCCATAACAATTTCTCGCCGATTTAACGCTATCAACGAGGAAGCGTACTGGATTCGGGCAATTTTAGGGTTGAGGACTGTCGTTGTGATTTGTTTGGTGCGTCGCTGGACTGTTTCGTGGAGTTATCGTTTACCAGAAAGGCCCTGTTTGAATTATGATTACTAACAATGGTAGATATCCGACGTAAGGAGCGAACAAAATTACTTTAAAGTACTACAACTAAAGACATTAATTCTGATGTAATTGAAAGAAATTTAAAAAAAAAAAAAGATGATAAACAAATTTGTACTTCTTTATTATGGTGAGTAGATGTTTTTAAAACAAGAAATTATGGCGAGTCTAAAATTTAAGTTACATTTTTTAAAAATCTTATACGTTTATTTTCACCATTACTGTACACTTACGAATATCGAGGTTATTTTAAAAACCGCAAGCGCAAATCCTCTCGACATCCATATTCAGCAGCGCGTTATAGCGCCTTCGCGTCTTTCTCCCTCGTGATGTTTATTCATAAACTACGTGAGATAAGTGGAGACGTGAAAATATGAGTCTTGCTCTTCTCTTCTATACGATTATTCTTTTTTGATATTAGACATAATTTTAAGACTTTTTAGTCATGTATCACTTCAAATAACAGGGTATACGTGTAACTCAATTCTTAATGTCAAACTACAAAGTTTGGCTTGATTTTCTATCGTCAATATTCATGTTTCAGCGATTGATTGGTACTTTACACAAGTTGTAAGACAAAATACTCTGAAGCACAATTTGCAAACTTAGGTACAATGAACACTGTGGACTGAAATGACAACCGTAACGTAATCGAATATTAATGATCGATTAATGATGGGCAGTAACTAATGTCAACAACATTAAGATTTGAAAAATGTCTAACTTTCATTGAATGTTAGTTGGATTTTAGCTTTTCTCCTGAATTCTGTATTTGATCAATAATAATATTTAAAAGTAATTATTGCACTGTAATGTTAATGAAACAGTAACGTGAAAGAAAAAAAGAGCTGGGTATCAATGAAGCCATTGATTATTTTCTGTACGTAAATATAAGTTGGGCACATATATAATATACAATACAAGTATATTATTTAAACATAAAATTTGAACTACATACGATTTAAAAGTATAATTTCATCCCTTACAAAACAGTACAGTAAAATAACGTGACTTGATTTAACCGGAAATATGATCGAAAATACGCATATTCATTCTGATACATGCCTAATCCATCATATTTTTGTTTACTCATCATTAGAGTCACAACAGCAGTGTGTAAAAATGACCTTCATAGCATTCTAAAAGAAAAAAAACTCTTCGACCTCCTTCAGTAAAACAGCAAGTAATCCAGCTCTTTGTTTAACAACGATATATCCATTAAGCAAGCAAGCGTGCAAAGAGGGACCTTATAGCACAGTTGATGGCAAAACAAGCTGCAAGTACCTATACATAGTTGAATAACAAAGAGCTGAAGCGGAGACAGACACGAGGGGTGCGCTACTCCTTTTGGAGTATCACACCCTCTCGGCCGTATTATCCCCTTGGAAAAATCGACTCTCTCCGTCTGGGCGAGTGAAGAGCCATTCCCGTGGTTTTTTTGGCCACTCGGGGTGAGTAAGAAGATTTGAAGGGCATGGATGCTCGAGTTTCGATGAAAGAATAAATTTAAGTGATTCGTGGAATGATAAGTTATCAAGATTTTAGACGTTGACCAAGAGAGTTAAGGAGTGATTTGTTTATTTGAAAAGATTTTATATTTATTTTTAACAAAATTAGGTAATTGAATGATGAAACTCGCTTTCCAATAGCACTTTAAAATTAAAAGCAGTGTATTCATAATTTCACTACATTCGCTGATGGTTTTTAATAAATTTTTGATAACACGTACGTTTATGAAAACAAATTATTCGTGACATGCACAATAATCCTCCGTGAAATTAGAAAGGAAATGATAGCCTTATCTCCACTCCATTTTCTGCTTCGTCACACGGAAATAGCTGGTCTTCCGGGACAGGCAGTAATCACTGGGGAGCAATTGCGTTGAGCCATCAACTGCAATATCAGGTCATCTTTTTTTTTTTTTTTTTTTTTGTACAGTAAAGGGCTCGCATCGTTCAATATCATCTTGATTTTCAATATCAAGTAAGTAACTTGAT